CTCAAATGAAGAGCAGACCAGCTATGGCCACATATGCACTTTCCTTCTTGATTTAAGTGGAAAGACTAATTGGTATAAATTATGGTGAAAGAACTCGAGGCTCTCCTGTAAGTTGGAAGAAGAAAAGCAAATAAGCTTACATTCGTTCTTCTGGCATAGTGTATACACACTGTAGTTTTTCTGCATGCAGTTAGGCTTGGCATTGAGTCAGTTTTCCCATAAATTCTTTTGCAAAGGACACAGTCTGCATGCAGGTATTGCACTCTGACCTTTCAGGTCATAATCCTCCTTTGACAGCTCCTCTCATCCCTACCTCCATTCTAGTATTTGTCTGGTGATCCTGCACTATATAATTACTTGATAGCAATTCTTATGCAGGTGATTTGTGACTCTAGAGTCAACCTTTTTTTCTCTCCCAAATTGTTCAGCTTGGGCTTCTGTGCAGCCAACCTAGAGAGAAACTTTTCATTGCTTTGTTACTGAGTATAAGTATGAGAAACGTTTGGTAAGAGGAAAGGAATCCATCTTAACTATTATACTTCTCCCCCTATACCAGGCCAGAGATGTTTTCTTTTAGTTTGAATCTCTCTCTTTGGCCTCTTAGAATTGACAGGTGCCATCAAAAGATGGTGAATCTCTGGTGGTTTCAAAAATAGATTTGGAACTCAACTACTGAACTAACTGGAGTAGACTGCATCCTGGAAGGAAACAGATAAATCAGGAAGGGAGGAAATCAAAACAGAAAGTAGCAAATCAATAAATGTCTAAATTATTTTATAGCATCCACAAGAACCTTTTTTTCCGTGGGTGATGGTACTGGGGCTTGAACTCAGGGATTTCAAGTTCTTACTTGTTCAAGGCTAATGATGCTCTACCACTTGGAGACACATATCAACTTTCAGACTTGTACTGCTTAATTGGAGATAAGAATCCCATGGACTCTTCTGCCTGGGCTGGCTTCAAACTCAGTTCTCAGTTTCCTGAGTAGCTAGGATTACAGGTGGTATCTACCAGCACCTGGCTCCAAATTCTGATTTTTATGACAGTAGAATGTACTCCTGGCATTGTTTGTAAGTTAAAGCAACACCCTTATGATGTGGCTAACACATTTTTCATCAAAAGTCCTCCAGGGTAGCAAGAGACAGGTAGGTCTCTAGCATATGAGAATAATGTTTCCGCAACCTACACCCGCATCTTAAGTGTGGCCAAGAGACCTTGGATGAATATGTAATGAGCTGCACTTGTAAGTCTGGACGTGCACAGCATTTCCCTTCCATATGTTCTGGTGTGCCTCTTTTTTGCATGTTGCGCTAGAAACATGCATACCCTGCGGACAACACTTATTCTTCACAGTGCTGTTGGGTGGCACCTTTCTTTGCCTGCTTATACCAAGCTGGCAGTGGGTATAGTTTTTCTGTGATCTGGTATTGTCTTTCAGTCAAGCTACCAGATGGATGCCAGATGGGTAATTGTAGCCAGGGCTTCTGCTCTAGGTCCACCCCATAGCCCATGGGCATGAGCTTGTCAGTTAACTGAGTCAAAAATGGTGCTTCAAAGAAATACTCCTTCAAACCATAGGCATCTGTTTCCTACTCTAATGACCTTTAAAACAATCAAGGAGAAGAAAAACCTTGCAGACAAGCTTTTCTTTAACTAGATGTTACCTTTGTGAGAAAGAAAAGGGGAAATGACGGTAGAGTGGCTTGTGGGTGTCAACCTCATTTCCAGCTAATGGCACTTCCAAAAAAGCCACCAACTCAAACAGCGTGTCCACAGAGAAAGTGAGGTATAATCAATAGAGTCCTTTTCAGTGATAGCTTCACAATGTCATCTCGATTCCTGAAGGGCAGATTTTACATAACATTTTCTGAGGTTAAAAAGGGGAAAAAGGAGGAGAAAAATGAGGTGGGGGGGGAAAGAAAAGAAGAAATGCAGGAGCTTGAAAGGCCTAAAGATTCTTAGGCAACAACAACAAGAATAGGAAAATGAGTCAGTAAAATGGTGGAAAGACATCTTCTAAGGATTCCACTCTAAATCTCTTTCCCTAACCTCTATTGTCACACCGGACAAATTACATTAAAAAAATATCCTGATGGATCATCTGGTTATTTTAAGTGTGTATTTCATCAGTTCATTATGAAGGTTTATTTTCTAAATTAACTACAAATAAAGTGGGATCCTCTAACCATTTACTCACGCAATTCTGTCAGCTATTTTTTTTTCCCAGCAGATATCAGGCAGATCTCCAGTCCGTGCTGGGCTGTCTTTCTGAAGAAGTTACGATAGTTCTGTGTTCCCTCAGGTTACTATGGAAACACTTCTTTTCAGGTCATCCACTTACAAAGGTAACATTTGCATTCAAATGTGTTAGAAGTTAATTTTTCAATACTCAAGTTGAGGTCATGCCACCATTTCATATCTATTAGTTCAAAATCCTTGAACAAAGATCGACTTAATCTATAAAAATACTTGAATGATGGTGAGCCCTGATGGCTCACACCTGTAATCCTCGTGACTCAGGAGGCTGAGATCTGAGGATGACAGATCCAAGCCAGCCTAGGCAAGAAAGTCTGTGAGACTCTTTATCTCAAATTAACCACCAAAAATCTTGAAAGTAGAGCAGTGGTTCAGATGGTAGAATACTAGCCCTTGAGCACAAAAGCTCAGGGACGGTGTGCCCAGATCCTGAGTTCAAGTTCCAGGATCTGCAGAAAAGTTCACCTTATAAAATGCTGCCATAAACACAGATCACATTAACTTGTGTGCACAAGAAAATATCAGCAGTGCCCTGCTGTCATTCCTCATTTGTTGAGTGTTGAGTTGTGTCATCTCTAGCATAAAGAAAGAAGTGGCTAGAGATATGAACACAGAACAGTGTTAACAGCTATGTGCCTTGTCTTTGGGACTGTGTCTCATTGTATCCTATTTGGGCCATCGAGAATTCATTTGAGTAAGTATTTGTTGAGAGTCTGCAAGGCACTCAGCATCAAGGTAGACACAGCACAGGGCTCACATATGTACTTGTTCTTGAAATAAGTGTTTGCCCCAATAGGAATACAGTTGTTTTACTTCCTGGTACAGGTAGAGGTGGCAGGAAGCACTGACGGAAGGGGTGGTGACATGGCTAGGGTTTCTTGGAAGCTCCATGAAGGGTCCTGTGACTAATATATGAAAAATGACCATAACCTCCTGTAGGATGCCTGCATGGGACACTGTCTAACTCCTCTTCTGGCTCATGGGGTAGACTGCAATGTGGGATTATTGGAGTTGGCAACGACAAGAAATTCTGGAAAAGTAAAAATGGGGGTACAACACAGACTCTGAGACACTCCCCCCAACACAACTACTTGTCTGATTGCATTATGTGTCATTACCCACTTGAAAAAGTCAGCATGATGAGGACTAATCTGAATAGAAAAGGAAACTCAGCTTTGGAGCTGAGGACACTTTCGTGTTGAGTCTGGAAGGATCCTGATCCTCCTCTCCCTGAGACAGACCTTAAGACATGCTTTACACATCTACCCATAGTTATCCGGAATTTGTTCTCTACCAGAATGACAGAATAGGATGCCAAAGGTGGAAGGCAGGTGGCTGAGGTGGAGGCTGTGACCAAATGTGATGGAGGTAATACCCTTCACCTGCCCCAGGACACTCAAACAGAAGTTGCAGGGTAGGTTTAGTAGCTGCCTTCTTAGAGATTTTATATGGCAGAAGAAGCATGAGGTAGCCAAGGCTATAACTTCCCGGGCCAGTTATAACTACAGAGAACATTATTTAGTATGCAAAGCCTATTGAAACTGAAACATTAATGACTTGTTTTGCCAGCACCCTCAAACCACATATAAAAGAGCTAAGAGCTAAGCTCCTGTCTCCTTTATAGATTTTAGTCACGTACCACAAAATCAAAAACCTTACTGCAACTCAAAATGACTTTTCTATTTTTTTTCCCTTGTCAGAGGCCAGAAACTGTTTTACAGAATGATGTTAGGTTGTACTGACATGATTTATGCTAACCAGTATTCTTTGCAGTGGGGTGTGTGTCTGTGTGTCTGTGTGTGTGTCTGTGTGTGTGTCTGTGTGTTTATGTTTCCAAATAGATTGTTTAATTATCTGCTCCATTATCTTTCTGGAAGCTGTACTTCATCGTATCAAGCATATTTATCAATAAGAAATGAATTCCATCCTAGGAACTGATTTGTTCAAGGTAACTTTCATTATAGTCACACTTGCTATGTTTAATGATGGCTTTACACTTGTGCTGTTTTATTTATAGCTGTAAACTTCCCACTTGACTTTTTCACCATCTGAAAGCCAAGTGAAATCTCAATGACCATTTATGTTTCCAGACAAAATTTTCCTGGAAAGGGGATATGGACACATAAATACAATAAACATCTAAAGTTAGTTTTAACTTACTAATTATTGCTGAATATTGGTCTCCCTCAAATAATGACCTCTATCAGGTTGTATACCTCAAAAACTACAAACTATACCCAAATTATTACTAAAGACAAAGAACTAAGCAGAAGTAAAATGGTAATTTTAGGAATTTAAATTTTCTTCAAGCCAATTAATTTAGCATCTAACATTATTTTCCTCACTAGGACTAGGACTAAAAAAGGTAGTAATATGGAATGTGGCATCTGTCATGTGTGTTTCGAAGTTAAAAATGGAAATATAGCCAGGCAGTAAGTGCCATAAACAAAAGATGAGCAATTTGACATTGAAGTTGAGCTTGCTAGCAAGTTGGAGAATCACTTTTGGTCCTTGAGCTCCTGCAGGCTTTCTCATTGGCTTATTTCTGGGTGCACAGGCATCACAATTTAGGAAAACAAGCCATAACAACAACCACTTTTTGTAAAACTTCACTTTGCAATATTGTATTATGCTTAAGCTTTGCATCTGTTGATTTTTTTTTTAGAATTTTTACGTCAACTTTATTCTCAGAGCCAACCTGAGTGAGTTAACAAACCCCTATCATTATCGACTATCGTAGGAATCATATTCCTTTTTACATGTACCCAAAATGCATAGTCAACAATGAGTTCTGGGTTGCAAAAGAGGATTTATTATTTGCACCTGTCTGTAAGGCTTCGTTACAAATAAAAAAACACACACAAGTGCCATGTATCTTTTGATTTTGAAGGATATCACAAAGTGTCAGGCAATAGTTGAATTACAGACCAGTAATAGCAACACACACACACACACACACACACACACACACACACACAATCCCATAACAGGCATGCATGTGTGACTGTGGTACACAGAGGGACAGGGATAGATCTGAGAGGAAATGAGAGATCAAACCCAACTGTGAAATAGAATCTATATTCAGAATTATCTCTGGAAAATAGCTGGGTGACCAATCCAGGTCAGAAAATACCAGTTGGACTCTTACCATATGTTCTTTACATTTGGGAGCATGTTAGGTTTCATCTTTCTGATAAAAATACCTGAGAGAAAGGAACTTCATGGAGGAAGGATTCATTTTGGCTCATGGTTTCAAAGATTTCTGTCCATGCTCACCTGGCTCCATTGCTTTTAGGCCTGGAGTAAGGCAGGAACAAATAGAGGGAGGACATGGTGGGCGAAGCTGTTCACTTCACAGAAGCCAGGAAGTAAAGAGGAGTTTGGGCAGGGGACAGATATATCTTTCCAGGCTAGGCGCTCAGTAACCTAATTCCTCCAACTAGGCTTCACCTTCCACTTTTTACCATCTTCCAATAATACTATCAATGCAGTAACCACCGGTCAGTTAGGTCACCACCCTCAAGGATTCAATGACTTCTCATGAACAATCAACTGGCAAACAACCTCTAACATGTAAGTCACTGGAGGACATTCCAGACTCATCCTATAACAAGAAGATAGTTGCCTTAATGTTATTTTGGTCTTCATTAGAAGTGACACCCTAGACCCTGAAACCCACTGGGAGAAATGAAGGAATGAATCAGATTCTTATCTGAAATTCTTATTGGACTTGGTTTGTCAACAAATTCTAGGGTGAATATTAATTCAATGCCAGAAGGGACAAACCTTTGATAAAGCTGGGTGTCACCCACAGGCTCTGTTCTAAATCTACAGTGAGAATTGTTTGCTGTATTGCAAACATGGCTCTGTTGTTAGATTAGCATATGCACTGAGGCCCTCAGTTGAGGAACTAATAAAGTCAGCAACCAATATTCTGTTGATAGCAGGGACTTTATTTTTCATTTCCAACAATTACAATGATGCATGCTGACAGAGAAACCAAATCCTCTGTATATTCACAGGGAAATACATATGCATAATACTCAGCATTGTAGTCTAATTATTTTTCACATTGCCAATGTGAAAAATAAAAACAAACAAACATCCAAACCCTCCTAACCCTTTGAATTTCTGTGGCTTAATTTTCTAGCTCTCCTAGAATTACCTTGATACATAACAGCAAACCAGCTTTGCTGTTGCATTTTGTAGAGCTCCTCTATGTGGAGTTGCAAGGAAAGCAATTTGGAAGTTTTACATAACATGTCTCACTTTTTTCAGGATCATTTAGAGAAAAATTGGGATTTAACAGTGTAAGGGTAAAAAAAAGCCCCAACATTTCCAGGCATACCACTAGCCATGCACTGTTTTACTGTGTGTGAATGAAGAAGATGCAGCCAGGTAAATGGCCTTTGTGATGCAATGAAACTGTCCTAGATCTTACTATGGCTTATCATTTAGAAATTCTTTATTCTAGACAAGTTTAAGTGCTTTGATGGGTTTCATTCTGGACCCTATAGCAATATGAGTACAGGAAATTAACCAGGTAGAATTTACCCCAGTCCTGGACACTGGGGATATCTGCTAAAAATGCTGCCATGGGCCATACTTAGAGGGGATATAGTACCAGACTTCCTGGAGGGCAGGTGGAAGAGGATAAAGCTGTTTCCTTTTAGGCACAGAGGCTAGACAAGAGGTCATGGGACTGATTAGGAGGTCAACATAGGGCTTTCTTCGGAAAGGTGAAATTTTAAAGAGTACCCCTGGAAAGTCCAGCATTCTCTACATATCTACTCCAGGGGAAAAAGATAGAAGACAGAGGAATGTTGTCTTTCCTGAGTAATATGCAATAACATGAGGATAAAAAGTAGATTCAATCATATCTGACACAAAAAGAGGGCTGAGCTAGAAGCAGCACATAGAAAGATGACCTTTGTCTAGTGCACGTAGCAGAACCATTTGAGCAATTGAACAAAAGCAAATTTCCCTGCCAGGTATCACTCCCTTCCTGCCTCCTTCATCTGCAGAACCTGTATCCTGCAAATATGAGTCTACTTCAGCCAGGTTTCCTGTCTTGGAACGAAGACATTTCTCCAGAAAGATGCCTGACTGGCTTTCTTGGGAACTCCAGCCATCTTATTTAAGGGACAAGATCTATGTTTGCAAGTAAGAAAACAGAATTAACATGAAGCCAACTCAATCAACAGAGCAAGGCTCTGGAAAAGTGAACAAAAAAAAGACCAATACCCAAACAAATCTGAGTGAAAATGTTGAATCGTATGACTAAAGTAACTTCTAATATTTAAGTAGAGGAAAAAGAAATCATACAAAAAGGCATCATACAAGTAAGAAAAGTCAAGCCAGCCTTAGCTGTCTCCTTCCCTTTATCAAAAACCAAAAGACATTAGAATTTTCAGTGGGAGGAGGGGGAAGAAGACCCTTGAGAAGCAGGCAAACCATTCCTTCAACAAATACTTATGTACTGCACACAAGGCATTGTTGTAAGTGCTGAGAGTTACGTGTAAATGACATGATCAGATTTCAAGGTTTGGAAATATAGTATCTATATATCCATTTTTGAAGAGAAACTATTCAAAAAGATAAGCAGGTTAACTGAGAGATTAATCAAAAGAAAGAACTCAACAATAGAAATGTCACATAAAGAAGCACTGGCATTGGGTTTAATGTAATCCTCACATGACAGGACATACATAAAATAGTAAAACAAGACACACATAGTCTTCTTGAAAACATGACTGGGTCTCAAATGTCACAGGTTAAAAAGTGTGAGGGGAAGTTGTGACAATACACTGTCATCTTTATCTATTTGTCCATTGAGATAATTTCATTTTCTGATGTCAGCAGAGAAAACAGACTAACGAATTTGTTTTAAAATATAAAACCACTATAAGTACAAATATTTAAAAAGTGATCAGAGAAAGCATAGTATACTGGATAAGAAAGAGAACACAGAAAGAGGCAATAAAACAGAAAGCCACAAAGAAAATATAGAAACAATAGAATGCCAGCCATCATAACAGATTGCAACAAATTATACATTTCCATAGAAGAAAATGCTTTTGAATGAATTGAGCATCACCATTCAATCTTTTATAAGAGACTGTCTGAAAAACTGAAATAGGGGGTGCTAAAGGGCCTCAGAAACCACATAGCCAGTGAGGCTATGACTGAGGGTCTTCTGTCTTTGACAGATCTATAAAGATCTCTCTCTCTCTCTCTCTCTCTCTCTCTCTCTCTCTCTCTCTCTATCGGTCTGTCTATCTGTTTCTATAATATCTGAAGCAATATAGCAGTATTATTTTACCAAGTTTTTCTGGAGAATATTTATTTCCTCATACTTAAATTGTTTGTGAAATGGGGATAATTCAGTATTGAGATTGAAACCTAAGATCTTGAACTTGCTAGGCAAGTGTTTTCCCATTTTAGCCATTCTTCCAGCCCTTTCAGCTTTTGTTATTTCTTGAATAGAGCCTCACATTTATGGTGGAGCTAACCTGGATGACAATCTTATTTATGCTTCTTATGTGTGTGACATGGTATGTGATAGGCCCAGATCACTATATCCAACTCTTGGTTGAGGTGAGGCTTTCCTTTTGAGTTAGCTTCAAACCATGATCCTGCTGATCATTACCTTTCAAGTAGCAAGATTACAGGCCCCAGGCTCCTCTACAGGTAGGTTTTAATAGAAAAAGTTACATTTAATATGGTAATGACTTTCCCCCCATAAAGCTATTAAATTTATTGCACATGTAACTATCTGTTCTGAATTATATCTAAAGACATATTGCATACATATGTGTTTATTGTCTACTAGTATACAAACACAAGGCAGAGATTTTTGTCTGTCTTGCTCTTGCTAAGTTCCTAGCACCTTAACAGTGCTCAGGATATTATAAGCATCTAATAAGCACTTATAACACAATAAAAACTGTTAATTAAAATAATTTAATTTAAATTACTTAAAATGTTTTAAATGATAAAAGTTACCATTGACTGCCAATTTTTAATAAATGCCATAAAGCATTGCAGAAGCTGCTATCTTTAACTATAAAGCACTAAAATTAAATATTAAAAGTAAAAATTTAAATGGAAAAACCTAAATACTTGAAAACTAAAATAATAAGCATGTGAATCACTCTTGGCCACAATAGAACAAAGTTTACATTATATGATAGCTAGAAAAAAGTAACCACATTAATATACTCAATCCTGAAGATATATCAAAACTAAGTTCTCTTTTAATTATATTGTTATTAAATATACTAAAACTAGGAGAAACAAATAATTCAAAAGTAGGCTTGCTTCAGCTGTTTTAAAGAGAAAAATAATGAAGTACAAACAAGTGCATTAGAAAACAGAATTATGGGAGGGCAGGGATAGTAAGGGAAAAACAAAGGAGGCAACAATGCTTGATAAGAAATGTACTCATTATCTTGCGCATGTGATTGTAACCCTTCTGCAGGGTATTTTCACAATAAAAAAGCTTATTTAAAAAGAAAATAGAATTATTAAATATATGGTAAAAATGTAAAGTATACCAAAAGTTTGAAAACCTCAAATAGATAATTTTATAGAAAAATATAGCACATGTTCAAAATTCAGGAAAGGAGAAAAATCTCTTTTTCCAAAGATTTCTGTGTATTGAGGGAAGTTAAAAAAAAAAGGTGTTAAAGAATTACTCACATAAAACACCAGGCTAGATGTTTTCATGGATGAGTTAAAGTCTTTACAAAGAAGTAATTGGTACATTATAGGAATTGTTACAAAGTATAAAGAGAGATAAAAAGCTACCTAGATCATTTTCCAAAGGTAATATAACTCCTCTGTGTAAAACTGCTAATGTTAGAAAAG